GCGCAGGACGACGCTATGGACGTCGGCCTGCAACAGGTACGGCAGCGCAGAGTGCGTCGCCGCGAGCTCCGACACGATCGAGAGGAGACGCGCGAGAAGCGACGGGGACGTTCCAGTGTACGCCTTCTCGAGCAACTCGCCGAGGAGCTCCATAAAGTCGAGGCACGCCGCGTGGGCCGACGACCCCGAGATGTACAAGGTCACAAACTGGGCCTTCCACACGCTGTGCAATAGCAGCACGTGAACGCTCTCAAGCGCCTTGGGCACGAGCTCCGCGGCAGTCGCATGGTTGACGAGAAACGTCATCAGCGCCGACCACACGGTCTGCATCGTCGGCGGATGACTCCACCCCGACGTGCGCGCACCCGTCTTGAGCATCGAGAGCAGCAGGTCCAATGCTTGGGCCGCGATCGCCGGGTCCGACAACGTGGCTTCTTGACGCTGCAAGACGGCACACGCCGCCGTCAAGCCGCCGGCGTCCAAGAGCGCCGGCAAGCTCGTCAATGTCGCCAAACACGTCAGCACCTCGAGAAGAAAGTCCCGCGCAATGTAGCCGTGCAGCACGAATGCATGGAGCGTGCTCGGGTACAAACTGCCGATCGCACGCGCCTGGAGCGCCGGCCGCGTCGCACAGAGCGTCGTCACCGCCTTGAGCGCGCCGCGTTCGAACCGATCGTCCGCGACAAGACTGAAGAGCACATCGGCCGTCGCGAATGTCACGGTCGTCGTCGGCGCCATTTGACGCCCGAGCTGCTCCAAGAACGCGATCGACGCTTCCTTGGTTGTCTTGGACGCCGTCGGGTCTTGGAACGCCGATTCGATCGCTTCAAGCGCCCCGAACTCGACGACTTCGGCGACGACGCCGCCGACCGCCGTCGAGAGACGACTCAGCAGCTCGAGCGACGCATCCAAGAGCTCATGCGCGTGGAAGAGCACGGCCAGCGTCGACGCGACACCGTGGCAGTGCACAACCACGTTGGCATACTCGGGCACGGTGGCAAACGCCGATATGAGCACAAACATCTCTGCTTGGGCCTGGATCGTGGCCGTGAACGGGACACTTTGCGTGCTCGTATGCAGCCACGTCATGACCGCGACGAGGGTATTCGCAGCCGCCAGCGCCGGCAGCAGCACAATCCCGCGTTCGAGCGGCCGCACCATGGCCGCCAAGACGCGGATCGCATCCGCTTGGTCGTGCTCGTCGTCGAGACGCGCCGTCAGTACGCCAAGGAGCGCGCTGTTCTGAGCCAAGAGCGCGGCGTTGGTCGGATCGGTCGCGAGCGCGTAGAGCAAGGCAAAGGTACCAGTCGACAGCTCGTCATCGTCGAGCGCCAGCAGCGGTGTCAGCGCCGCGTAGCATTGCGCGACGAGCGTCGGGTCCAGTGCAAACTCGCGCTGCTGGTCCGGCGTCATGGCCGACAAGAGCTGCGGGAGCGTCGAGAGCACAGCTCGTAGCCCGACCACGTCGCCCGCGGCCGCCAAGACAAGTAGCGCCGACGTGAGCACGTGCGCGCCGTTGTGCGCGATGCAATCCTTGACGTTCTCAACGTCCTTGGCGTAGGCACCGAGGCACTGGACGGCATCCCGCTACTCGAAAGTTGGCACAAAAGTGAGCCAGACACAAGAAAGACATGGGCTTGGCACCTTGACGTCGACCGATTCCGAGACGATAAGGATCTCCAAGACGTGCGCGCCCGCACCGGCCGTCCGGAGCGCTTTCTACAGTCGTCACATCGTATCATCCGCGGGAGATAAAGAGACGAGAACGTACGAGACAAGCCGCCGAGCCCGACGCGCAGAGGTGGTACATGGCGTGCAGGGCGTGCACTTCCAACTCGGGCACGGCCATCGAGAGGCAGAGCGCGATCGTGTTGCAGACGCCGGACGCGGCGGCCATCTCCCCCGCGACCGGCAAGGCCATGCGGTTGTAGAGCGCGGTGAGGTGCGACAGCACGAGGAGCGCGTAGATCTGCACGTCTTGCGGGTCAACGTTCTTGAGCAGGCTGCAGACGACCGCGACGCCGCCGGCCGCCTCGACGTCGTTGAGCTGCACGAGGCTTAGCTTGCCCATGGGACGGGTCCGTCTCCTGGCGCGGCGTCAGCAAGAGCTTGGCCAGAGCCCGGAGGCGCTCGATGGTCTGGGGCACCGGTGTGCTCGCGCCCTGCGTGAGAAGCCCGAGGAGGCCAACAATCGACGTCGTGTCCCCGGCCGCCATGTTGCGCTGACAGCGCTTGCATGCCGACTAGCCAAATTGAGACACACATCAGTTTCGAGGTATCAAGTGCAAGCGAGAACCTGGCGACCGTCGAGGCTTGGGATCGCAACCTTGTCGGTGCAGTCGCCGCAAAAGAGGCCACCGCAGAGACGGCAGTGGTGCTATAGGATAGGGATGGATACACAGACGAGCGAGGAAGAGATAGTCGACGTACGCGTCGGCGCAGGACGCCAAACTTGAGGCGGCACTGGGTGCAGTCCATGCGCGCTGCATCGGGCACAATGTACGGGGCAAAATACGTCGCCTTGACGTCCGGGATCGGTGCCCATGAGGCGGACAAGCCCTTTTGAACGACGACGACGGGCGCGACCAGGACGGCAGGCTCGGGCTCGGCCACCGAGACCGTCGTCGCTGAGATGACACTGCTTTCGCGCTCGGTCGCGTACCGGTCGAGCTCCGAGGCCATTTGGTTGATCTGCGACTCGCGCGGATCGATCCACGTCGTTGTGCGCGTGGCATGGTCGACAAAGTAGACGCGCCCCTATGCACGCCATACGTGATGCGCTGCTAGCAAGAGAGCGCAAGTGCACCTGGTCGTCGCGCATCTCTTCCCAGCCCGCCGGCAGCGGTAGCGTCGAGGGCGGCGTCCACGATGTCTACACGTTACACATGACCTGGCTCGCAACGAGCATCGTCGTCGTCGCCATCGTACCTCGCGCGTGGCGTGGTTCACGTAGAAGACGCGGCCTTGCGCATCCTCCAGCTGCTCCCAGCCTACGTCCATGGCACGCCATGAGCCATCCGTTGCCATCGGCGGTAGAGGACGGGATACCCGGTGCTAGCATGGTGCCAGTCGCCAAATGCAACGTTTAAAGCGAAGCGCCAAAAACGAAGTTAAAGAACTTCGATGTCCATTGCTTCGATTTTGAAATCTTTGGCGAAATTTAAATCCAAATGGCAGGGGCGGCTCTTGCATACAAATCGCAAGAGAGTTGGAAAGGGCGGCGCGCCATGTCGCAGGTCCTCGTAGGACACCTTGGTGCGCCGATCAGCACTTGGCATTCCACGGGTAAATAAACGCATCTTTTATATACCCTTGGGCATACTGCTAGGAAACGCAGCACGGGACTCTCATGCAGTGAATTCAAAATGAAGCGAAAGACGCTTGAAGTGTCTTACAGACGCCAGCGAGCACCGTACACTGCTGAGGCGTCTGGACAAAATTCGACGACTTTGAGAACAAATAGGCGTGTCCACAAACCGACGGGTGCCAACTGCTTCTTCAAAGCGGCGCAAGGACCCACTTTTCGCACGATCCCAGGCCGTGATGCTACCGTACCCGTCGCGTCGAGAGCGACATCATCTCGTTGGCATGTGCCTTGCGCCGTTGTCGATCAACTAATTGAATGGTTTCAACGCTAATGGAAAAGCTAGGAAAGGGACATCACGTGCGGGCCTCGAACCCCGCACCACCGTCGGAATAAATTCGTCGCCGCGTGCCCAGTGGCATGAGTTCGCACACGTCTTCAAGCACCGCAATGATACCATCCAATTCGCAGGATATATATAAAGTGTTTCGCGTTGGCTTCGTTTCACAATGACTTCGCATACGTCGCGACTAGCAATCGCCTTCTTCTTTATTCGTCCAATTCGCAACAGAGCAATCCTCGTAGTGCAGAGCAACAGCGAAGACAGCTAGTACACTACCCAATTGCGTCTATCAGGTCGGCTCAGGATGAGCGCCAAAGGACTAAGGAGGCAACCGAGAAGATCCTGCGCTCGGATTGGTGCGTTTGTTTTGACCAATCGTATCGTTTGGCGTGCGCCCATTGGACAAAAAGAGCGCGCCAAAATAGTGCAACCGCCAGAAAGGTCATCTTGCGCGACGGTTCATGGACGAGCCGGAAGCGACGGGGGGACGTGGAACCGCACGGTGGGCGCGGTCGTCCGCGCCACCATCACGGCCAACTCGGGTCACCACGAGAGCCTCGCCCGCAAGGCGTCCCAGATGCTATGCAATCCGATCTTCAAGCAGCACGTGTGGGGCCAAGTCCATCACGCGCGGCGCGAGAAGCTCAACGACCTCCACGCCAAGCGCCAAGAGCGCAAGCGGTCGATGCTGCAAACGAGCGCCGCTTCGATCCCTGAGGACGACGACGACGACCCGCCGCCGCCACGCCCCACGATTCAGCCCCGCACCCCGACCAAGAGCCCGCCACGGTCCCCGAAAAGCAGAGACCCGGCGCGCCCCACCATTCACATCCGGTCGCCGGCCAACCCGCTGGCGCACATGGCGTTCAAGTCGATGCGGTCAACGCGCGGCCGATCACCATCGCGGATGGCGCCGAGCGAGCGCACGGAGACCGAACACGCGGTGGCGACCAAGGCGTCGGGCCCGCCGTCCTACGAAGCGCGCTTTCGCCGGTTTGCCAAGCGCACGCTTCGCCGCAAGTACGCGAGCTCTGTGATTGCCGGCGCGGTGCTTTTAGACACGATCGTTATGGCGTTGGACTCGACGGGCAGTACGGCCTTGGGCGTCCTGGACTTTTTGTTGACGCTGCTCTTTGCGTCCGAGCTCGCGCTGCGCATCAGCGTCCACGGCGCCTTCCGCGGCCATCGTACACCTACTGCCTTCTCCGTGCTGCGATGCCTCATCGTGCTTGTGTAGATCCATTCTTTCGCGACAAAACCGCGGTTGTTCAGTTTCTTGTCGTGAGCTCGAGCCTCCTCTCGTTCTGCGTCTTGGGCTTTGGCACGCTCTCGCAGTGGCGTGTGCTCCGGGGATTGAAAGCGTACCGGTGTTTCACGGCGGTTCATGGCATCAAGCGCATCATCTCGGCCATCACCAAGGCGATCCCGCTTCTGGCCAATGTTGGCGTCCTTGCCTTCTTCTTCCTCCTCATGTTTAGCATCCTTGGCCTCGAGGTCGCATACCGCGTCTCGATGCAAATAACGTCTGACTTTGAGAGTACTAGGCGTTTCCGAGTGTTTACGACGGCATGTGCGCCGTGCGCGGCACGCCCAACACGACCCTCTTGATGAACGACACGCGCCTCATGTACCCTGGTAGACACTCTTTTTTTTGTATGTGCTACGTGATTTGATCGGAAACCTAGTGGTCTATTGCAGCACCAGCGCTGGGTGTCCACCGACCTTTGTCTGCGCCAATGTAGACAGCTCTGAGAACAACCACTTTCACTCGTTCCAGAACGGGTTCGCATCCTTCCTCCTCGTCTTCCAAGTCATGGTCCTCGACGGCTGGATCGACTCGATCATGGACCCGGCGCTCCAAACGACGTCCGACATTGCGCTGCTCTTCTTCATCATGATCGTCTTCCTTCTCGTGTTTCTCGTGCTCAACCTATTTGTGGCGGTCATCACCACCGCCTTCATGGGCCACGACGACGACAGTAGCAACGCCGAGCCAGCACATGCGGCGTCGCGCGGCCAGCTCGACATGCGCAAAATGGACAAGGAAGACGAAGAGCAGCACCTGTACATGGTCCTTGGGACGACCATGGCGGTCGAACAAGCCAGCAATACGACGCGCCACGACGTGCCGCCGCTGCCATCGCTGCCGTCGGCGCGGAGCGAGTCGGACGATGAGACGAGTCGACGCACAAGCAACACGACGACCGACGGCGAGCTGACGCGCCGCATGTTTTCGTCACTGTCGCTGCCGACCGAGACAGTGACGAGCTTTGTGAGCTCGCGGGACCTCTTTGCGCCAGTCCACGAGTCTGCCGAAGAAACCTTTCGACAAAAGCTCGCCTCCGTGCCCGGCGTCTCGGGGCGCCTGCGTCGGTGGGATCGGATGTTGTCTACCGTCCACACTGATTGCTGTTGTAGGTTCATCTTGTCCGAGACGTTTGCGGACCTCGTCATGATGTGCATCATTGTCAACACGCTCGCGCTCATGACCGAGTACCCCAACATGGGCGAGCCGTGGCAGACGTTCTTTGACGATGTGGAATTTTTCTTCTCCGGCGTGTTTATCATCGAGGTGTTGCTCAAGTTTTATGCATTCCAGAGGTCCATTGACATCGTCTTCGTATGGGGTCTCATGCACCGTCGTTCTGTGTAGCATGCGCTTGTTTCTGAGTGCATACGAGCGCTGGTTTGACGCGATCGTCGTGGGTACCAGCGTGTGCGTCACGGTACGGCCCTCTATATTTCGACTTTCGGGACGAAACGTTGCGGGCGTCTAGTGTCTCAAGTACACCAACGACGGCAATTTGAAGACGCTGTCGTGGATGGACAATGTGTCCATTTTGCGCACGCTGCGGATTGGCCGGCTCATGTGGCGCTGGCAAGGCACGCGGAAGCTCATCGAGTCGGTGCTCAAGTCGAGCCGCGCCGTCTTCAACCTCTTTGTGTTTCTCTTGCTCATTCTCATTGGTACGGAGTCCGTTGTTGATGATTTTGCAGCGAAGAAACTTGTTTGCTTGCTAGTGCACAGCGTTCTGGCCATGCAGCTCTTTGGCCTCGAGAAAGACATGCCGCGACGCAACTTTCAAGGGTTCGTGCAGTCGTTTGTGACACTCTTCCAAGTGCTGTCGGGCGACGCGTGGGCCGACGTGATGGAGTCGATCCTCGAGCGCGACTCGCTGTTTTTCGCGCCATTTTTCATGCTCTTTGTGTTTTTTGGCCAATTTGTCGTGCTCGGAGTCCGTGGTC